GATAACTGCCTGGAATTTCATACTTGTGGTATTTGAAAGTTAAATTGAGGTGAACATCATTAAACATAATTTATTCAAATCAGGACCTCATTTGCATAATTTATTAGGAAATGCTAGAATGCATTGTTTGTTAATATAAGACTGTCTTTTGGTTGAGATTATGATAAAATGATATAATTCATGAAAATTAGGTTCCTATTTCTTAAATCAGGGGGGAATAATCTAATCTATAATTTGTCAGTCATAAAGATTGACATCATTTGGCGAAGGTATGAGATCGGGGAACTCTAGTTTAGAAATGCAGAAGTGTTATTCGGGTGGCTGAGTGTATGTTTGTCCAGACATAGTAGGTGGACAGCATGTGGGTTGGGAAAGATTGGCAGGCAGAATTACTAGAGGTCAATGGGGGCATTCAGGAGGCCGAGGATTGCAATTATTACCAGTACTTAATGGAAGTCTTAAATCCTTTGCTGTTTTCAGGTACATCCGAACCCTGAAGTACGGTTGTGAGAGCCAGCAGGAGCGGGAGAGGTACCAGTATGTGGTGTATGAGTGGGCGGACGTCTGCATGCTGCGACTGTTCGAGGCTTTCCTGGAGTCTGCACCTCAGCTCACCCTACAGCTCTACATCATGGCACATGAGGAGGAGAAAGACCTGCTCACAAGTAAGAAATAGACTTCAAATTAGATACTGTTATGTTGGTAGACTACATGTATATACATGACTTGTACATCTTGATGCGTGATTGTCATTTCTTCATTTTGTTTCAGTCGTCACATGTGCAGCTAGTCTGGTATCCCTGGCCTGGGCTTTAGTGGCGTACCACAAGGCGCTACGGGAGGTTCGCCCGGACAAGAAGAACCTGTCATTCACTGGAGTGGCTCTTCGGATGATGTGGAGGTTATTTGAGGTCGTAGCTCGTGTTGTGGCCCTGTCCCTGTTTGCCACCAAGTTTGAGTGGGTCATGTTTGTGGTGGTCGGTGCGCACTTCATCCTCATGTTCCTGTGGCTGCTGTGGCAGGACACCAAGTTCTGTGACAACCGCGGTGAAGAGTGGGTCTTTGACTTCGTCATGGCCATCGTCCATGTCTTCTGCTGGTTCAATGTGAAGGAGGGCCGGACTCGGTACCGTGCCTCTGCCTTCTACACCTTCATGTACCTGGAGAACGCGGTGCTGATAGGACTGTGGTACTGGAAGGTTCTGGATGAGGAGGTGTTGTACAAGTACGCCGCGCTGGTCCTGGTGCTGGGAGGATTCCTGGCAGGGATCATCATCATGATGCTGTACTACCTGTTCTTCCATCCTAACGGAGGAGTCCGTTGTTGTGTGGAGGAGGCAGAAGAGGTGGATTCTCCCATGTACCAGACAGCGATCGAGTCGGGACACCCTGCCCCTCCATGGGACGAGGTGGACGGGACACAGGCAGACGAGCGAAGCATGCTGAGGAGGACTGTTGTCCGGATGAAGCAGCGGACAGGCACGCCAATGAAGTTCGCTCCGTCACACGTATCTAGGATGGCCAATCGGGAAAAGCTGGACCTGACCTTCGTACATCGCTGGAGGGTGAGGAATAATGATTACCTACTATCAAACTTTACAAACAGTACAGATACAAATGAGGATATCGAGATGGAACGAAGGATGTCTAACTGTCCCCCATTACACAGGGGAGGAGGAGAAGCTTGCCAGTTACTGAGGACAGCTTCACAGACCAGTTTGCCCAGAGAAAACAAAGGGCTGTCTAAGTCTAGAAGTTCCCATTCCCAGTTTTCAACTGAAAAAGAAAGTTGTGTGTAGGTATACATGATTTAGCCTTATTAAAGGATAAGCTTTTCTGCTGCCCAGAAAGTTTGGACGTCTTTTTGAAGGAATGCATTCTGGGCTTCCCCATTCCAGTTCATGTCTTTTTTGTACATGTAAAAATTGCAGGATTTACCTGATAGTACAAAAGTGTTATTGGTTGTACTTAATAGTACATCTACAATGCTAAAGTTGTTTGTACATGTATGTAGCTGCTGATTGTTGTGTGTAGCCAATGATGATTGTATGTTACATCTTCTAATTGTTATGTGTAGCCACTGATGATTGTATGTACATGTAGCTGCTGATGGTTGTGTATAGCTGATGACGGTTGTGTGTAGCTGCTGCTGATTGTGTGTAGCTGCTGCTGATTGTGTGTAGCTTTTGATAATTGTGTGTAGCTCACAATGTTTATGTCATTCCCCATGAAAGGTAAAGATGCATGGTTACCACTTATGAGTATGGAAAACCCTTGACAAATTGATACCTCTGAAACTATCCTCCACATCTTTGGACCATGGAGGTAGTACAGTTTGGACCTAGAAGCATCTAAATCTTTAGACCTGCAGTTAAAATGCGGTTTTTGGATGTTTCCTTTTTTACATTGCTATTGCCCTGATTTGGGGTTGTAAATAGCCTTTGTGTTCCCATGTCTACCTCATCTACATATAGCTTAGGTCTGTCTTCAAATATGCAAGAACAAAAGAGGGAATAAAGAATGCGTTTAGTGTTGTCAATGGTGGTACAATGTACTGCTAAAAGTACAGGAATGAGAACTGAAAGTGGACCTAAGCCATAGCAGTGCTGTTTAAGAAATAGTGTATGTCCGAAAATATGTTAGAGTTGGTTTCAGTTTTTTGTTTACCTTTAAGTAGTGGGTCGGGCATTGCCAGATTTTAAGTATTCAAAACTTTTAATTGGATTTTATGTGCAATCTTTGTTACATTGTTTGGCTAGACACCTTTTTTGCTGTGTTAATATGAAGACATGTATCTAGTGTTAAGCGCTAGCTGTACTATGGAGTTCAAAGGCTGTGAGGAGATTGATTAAGTTCATTGAAGTTTGATGTTTAACTTTTAAGGTGGGCCTAGAGTGCTGCCAGTGCATCACTTGAGCAATAAGTACTTAAGAGGGTGCTTCCCATAACTTCTAATATGTTTAAGTTCATCTGGTTTATTAGAAGTAGTTGTGTGTATTACAGTAATGCCATAAGCAAACACTTGGTCCATTTGTACTTGGAATTTCACTGCCTAGAGGTACGGTGTTGCTACTCTATGTGCATACATGTGTATAGGGATCGGCATAACACTAACTTTGTAATAACTTCTTGAGCTGTAGATGCCATCTGCACCACATCTTTAGTGTACTTTTAAAGTTGTTCTTACTTTGAATCACACATTCAAGATTTGTGCCATGTTTTAGCATTAGTATAACTGTATAGCAGATGGGATAAGTGACTGTGGTTGCACAAATACAGTCAGGATTAGCAATAAGACATTTGGATGTGGAAAATTAAGCCGCGTAGAATGAAGTTATGTTTGAAACCCTGACAACATGCAATTTTTATGTGTTTTTATTTCTCATATTCATCACAGGCAATGGTAGGGCATAACTTGATATTTCTGTATCGGTATAGCCGGTATAACTGCCCTTCGGCATAACACACCATCTTCAAGATATTGCATAGCATTAGCCATTCATAATAGACTGATTTTGCTGCCATAGATTAGTCCATGAGAGATGTTTAAGTTGCAAGGTCTTTCTTTATTACAAATTTAACATCATTATGGTTCCATCTAGAAGACATCTAAATGCAACCTTCTGTAATTCTTCTGTTCCTATTGACATAAAAGCATGCCTTGCTAATATTTTGCCTGTTAAAGGAGTAGTTTAATATCTTTGTAATGGAATGTTATTTGCTGTTGCTGATGACATTATAGTGATCACACACAATTGCATTTAAGAGGGGGAATGTTCTTAGTAGCCATTTCTTCAAAGCCTCATTCAAGCAAGTGTGCTGTATTTGATAGGATTTTCAACAAGTTAATTCAATGTCTCATATTCATTGTAGCAGCTGATGTCACCTTGTACACAGTCTATACTTGAAAGAAAGGCACTCTGTGAAATCTTCAGAAAAGTTGTGCATTGGCAGATGCAGTCTCAGATTTTTCTGCATACTGTAATATCATGTCTCCCTCCATCAATCTTTTCTTCACCTTCATTCAAGGTACAGAGATAGGTCATTGATGTAGGATACATGCAGCATTTGTCAGCAGCACAAAGCCACAGTATGCTAATTTAACTTTCTCCCTGCTGAAGTAGCCCAATTGCCACAAAATTTGCATGAGTTATGGGGATAGGTAGCAGGGAAAAGGTTTAAGTTGGGCCTCACAGAACAGTTATATTTCCGTGGAAACCAGGTCAGGCCTTTTCACAGGAACTGGGTCCAACAAACCTCTCCAGAAGGGCATGGAGAGTGCTTCCTGGGACCCTCTGGTGGCGCTGGATCAGCTCTTCTATGGCATCATGGGTCTGGAATGACAGGTAACATATCAATATACGATTTCAAGTTTCACAACTTACATGTGCATTTTGCCAATGCAGGTGTGGTATTTATTGCCCCTTTCTTGCCTCACAATGCTAAAATGATCTCAAATTTGAAAATAAGATGTCTGGAAGGGTGTACCTTCTTAGCAAGTTGCTGAGCGGAGAGGCTGGGGTCATAGATAGGGTCTCCTATGTAGGTTCTGTAAGAAAAAAATGCAAATATTGATCAGTAGCCTAGTCAAATTATCGGCTATTAATTGATATCTTTTTTTTTAAATCGCAATCAAAAAGCTTTTACAAAGTTGAAATTTATAGCATAACTGCCTACTTTGTAAACACTAAGAGCAGTAACAAACACACAAAATCTAGTTATCTTGAGAATAGTAGTACTGTAATTAACTAACCTGAGTTTGACAGGAAATCCACCATAGATGAGCACAACAGGCATCCGGGTTTTCTCATACACCCACTCCAGGAAGCCTAGATGTGAACCACCATGTTCAATGGAATTACATTTACTGTCTTTAAAGGATCTTACACTTTCCACGAGAGGCTTTCAACTTCGGAATTACAATTTAAAAAATGAGCATAAAACCAGCATCTTAACAAGGGGATGGGTAAGACTAGACAATATATAACGACACATTGTATACCAAACATACTAGAGCAAAAATACCATCCATTTACCATAAGCAGACGTTATAAGTATGATATTCTCGACGCAAAGACATGATACCCACGTGTTCCGAATCGTGGGGTCCGGAAAACCTCCCGCAAGTTCTGTGTGAACATCGGGAAGATGGGCTGCGGAGGAGTGAAGGGAAAATATTATCATTTCTAAAACGAAGAACTTAGCAATTGAGGGAGCCTTTGTTGATCACTTTGTTGAGTACTTGAGATTACCTAGGTAGACCCTAAACGACAGATCAATCAATAGAAAGTAACAAAATACGTAATCGGCTCTATTGGTCAATCAGCGTTACGGACAGTGATGGCAGATTTGGTGGTGGGATGGCCTGATCAGCACCAAGGAGAGGGACGTACCAAGTCAAGAGGAATAAAAGGGGTGGAACAAAAACCAACCAATAGAAAGTATGCTAATGACTCACCACGCCGGCCTTTTTAGCCACGTTTGCGAAGCCCATCCTGTGTTTCCAGATGAGGTTATAGTGTTTATCCCCGAACAGCGCCTCCCTCACCCCTCCCGGCGCCAGGGCCAGCAGGTTCCCCGCCTTCAGCAGCCGCACGCAGTGGTCCGGCTCGCCTCGGTTCACACCCATCGCGTCCATCATGAACTTCAACCCTGTCAAAACACTGAAGAGTCTGGAGATCTGGCACATCACAGGGATTCTTTTAAGACACACGGGGGATTTTCTGCTATAAGACGTGCTAGCTTTTTTAAAACTTATTTATACTAATGCAGTGGTCTTTAACCAGGCCGCATTTTTGGAAGTATGATCACACATTCTATACTAGTGGAACTGACATCCAGTATGACACCTTGCTCATTGGAATGCACCAAAAGTATCGCTTCCTCCTACGTATCTGCAGAGATTTCAGAATGTCGGGAAGCATGTAGGGTTTCCGTGACTTTTCAGTCAACAACAGAACTACAGGACTTGGAAGGGATTCTATGATGCAATTTAATCTGGTGATACACCACTTCCTGAATTCATCCAGCACGTCACTTTCAGGGTGACCTTCCTGTCTCAATCAACTGTCGAAATTACCTCCCACCCACCATGCAACCTACAGGCAGACAAACGCAGGACTCAGCAAACGAACAGAACACTTCTCAGTCATAAAACAATACTTCCATACCCGGAATCAAAAAGCGGACATAGTAGAACATACCTGGAATACTGAACATGAAGCGGTCGGTCATGGCACACAGGGGTCTGTCCTGGTCCAGATTAATCCTCGCCATCATGTAGTAACAATCCACAGGCAGGGTGCCGTGATAGTACACGATCAGCCCAGGGCCGTTCTTGGGGAGCTTCTCATAACCGTAAATCTCGTAACCTGTAGATGAGACAATGTTGCGTTATGGCCCGGTTACTTTCAAGAGCATAATGGTATCAGATATGAAAATTCGTGAGAAATTTACGGTAAGAAACAACTGTCCTTCGCGCCTACTAAGTTCGTTTTAGATTTTAGATCTAATTTAGAGGCCATTAGAATCCACTCACCGTGCAAGAGCTTAGCCTGGACTGCCCAGAAGGCAGAGACCGCGCACCGTGCCTTCTGCCAAACGGCGTTGCCGTCGAAAGGGTCCGTCAAGTTGTACATCTCGCTGTAGAAGCGAATGATGATGGCGTTTACGTACAGGGATCCCATGATGTACCACGGCACGATGAACAGCACGGCTATGACCCGGGGCACGTAGTGGAGAACCAGGGGGATGGTTTCCACATCCATGCCGACAGACTCCATCACGACGTGGACGGTTGCTATGACGATGTGCAGTTCCTCAATGGCGACGATGACGCTCTCCGTCCATGACAAGATAGTGGCATTGGTGAAGAGTTGTTCTGTGGTGGCGTTACAGAAGGACATGGTGGCGGTGGCGATATGTGAACACTTTAAAGGTCGATGTTCTGTAGTTCAGAACTTCTGTAACACAAAACGTTTCTTGTAAAAGAGTAATAATAATAAAGTATGTGACGTACATCATAGGACGTTTTCTACAACTGCGTAATGTAATGTTATCTTACCCATCTTGCAAACTTACCGTCCTATTGTCACAACAAAGTCATCAACCATTCCGCGGAAGGGAGTCCAGTGGTTTGAAGTGTTGACTGTTATTGCTTTGTGGGGTTGACCCTCTTTATTAAACCTACCTTCTGACCTTCCAGACTGCTATTCGGAATGACCTTTGATCGACCTTGTTATCGACGGAGGTATGAAGGATAAAGTACGCCTCAAAAACAAATACCTTTTCTTGGCCTATGTTCAGAACCCGACGATTGTCGCGAAAAAATTTCAAGAGTTGTTAATTCTCAAAATTTATGAAAGTCATATCTGGTCGCTATCATGTTCTACCTCTCCCTCCCCCTCCCCCTGTCTCTTACCGAATGAGAGAATGATATACGATACCCCAACGTCCATATATCCACGTTTTCATGAAGTTGCAGAGTAACCACGAACATACCTCAGTGAAAACACTAATGCGACACAATGGCCGTTGCTAAGTAAAATGGTTATAAAATGATACTATAAGTTACACATTCGCTGCTGCTGACGGTTCAGACTACGTTATGTGTCACGGCCGTGTATGGCGGTACTACTACACATCCAGCTACCCATATCAAGTGCCTCCAGTTCGAACCTGTAAACGTTCGGGCGTTGAACTTATCAAACGTGTTTAAACGTAATTAAAACGTGGACACAAGGTATCTGAAATGTACATACGTTTCTGTATTTTAAATCTGATCAGAGCGCCCGTTTACTTGGTATATATGTTACGTGTATATTGTTCTCTAGTTACATATATATTGCGCTCCAGAAAAAAATCCAGTTGAGTCGGCGTCGGCCCCTAAAATCCGTGAAAATGCTACTGCCACCTACCTGCTAATACCGGAATACTTTCGTCAATGCAGTATACCTGAAGCGTTTCCGTTGTTTGTGCATGTGTTTGTGTAGTTCACCGTTTAGGTGGTATACGGGTCACAGTTGTTCACCCAGTTTTTCAGCCTTGAACTTTTGAACAGCAGGCATGTTCAAAGGTTCAATGTGCTGTGGTGTGGGCATTTCATAGAACAGGGACGTTGTTGCATTGAATGTAAGGATTGCAATAAGGAAACAAATACTGCGTTAGGTTGGTGTGTCTATGATGACGTTGATGATGCACTGTGTTCTGGAGCTTAAAGTTACTGAAAACCTCTGGCTAGCCGGCTGCAGATCAGAGGGAGAGAGAACTTGAATCTCTCCGGATATGTCAGGCCCATTATCTTCTATGAAATTTTGCCTCCTATCGATAAGAAGTGGAACTACATTACTAGGCACGGCGACCTTTCCCACAGCACGATGCTTAATGGCAGGATTGGTCAAAGTTTTACTAGATATGAAAAGACAGGAGATTTTGTGTGTGTGTGAGAGAGTTTGTGTGAGAGAGAGTTTGTATGAGTGTGTATGTGTGAGAGAGAGTTTGTGTGTGTGTGTGTGTGTGTGTGTGCGTGCGAGCGTGTGTGTGTGTGTGTGTGTGTGTGTGTGTGCTACTTCTGTACCTGTCTCCTATGCTATCTGCATGTGCTCGTTCTAAGAAAGGGCAATGGCACATCAAGTGTCGCTCCGTTGCTATTTCTAGCTTCTTGTTTGTCAGTGGCCATCTTACGACTTCAAGCACGAGTGACGTTCACACCGCCTGCGAGAAGAAACCTATCAAAAAGACAGATTTATCTCGGGCCGAAAGGCCAAACGGCAAAATGACTAGGCTGGATTAGACCCCGACAACACACACGATCTATTATTAACATCGCGGTGGTGATGACGCAAAGGCGGAATTGTGGAGGAATTTACGCCATGCCGCCTCCCGTAGAGAGCGCGGTAATCTGTCCGCCTGACGGGACCTGGAATAGTAATACGACATTTAGATGGAGCAGAGCCACGGGCCACTTGCTCTGACCTATTCCAAACGTCAAACGGATTATTTATAAATGTCGGGACAAATCGCGCGACAGTGAGATAGGTGGAGGGGTGGGTTTAAATCTTTTTCGAAAGGTACTGACGTGGATATTTCCTTGACTGACAAAAGACCTTCTCTTCGTACTGCATCGTACTTGTCGTAGGTCATCGTACAATTTGCAAACGCCGACAAGGATCAAAGACAAGTTTTACGTAACAAGACAGATGGAATTTGTCCAACATATACATGACTATCCCGAGAATTCGCTCAGTTTGAGATTGTAATTGTACGACGAATTGGTGCTTTAAATAATTGGCACTGCCATGTAGCCATTTGTTCTACATCTTTGTCAGTCAGAACTGCCTGGTCAGAACTGCCTCATCATCCCTTTTAATCATACAGGTGAGATATTTGCATCCTCATTACAACGAATGAGGAAGATGTGTACACAAGTGTAATTTTTCTATCTAGAGAAATGCCATCCTTACTGACTAACCCTATCAGTAAAAGAAAAGTACTATTAGTTTTCGACCTTACATATTTCTATCTGGGTCGACTTGTTGTGTAAATGTGTGACCCCCCCCCCCCCTCGTGGTGACGCGACTTGCGAACAAACGATAGTCGCCAACTGGCGGCCAAAAAACAAAACGCTGTCTCGATAGCAATACTCATTAAGGTGTTCCCCGTACCGAGGTGCGCAGTCCTGTCCCCGCCGCATCCCGGGACGGCCGCCCTCCACACCCCCTTCCCGCTCATCTCACGTACCATCCCCCAAACTACACCGGAGAGTTGCGATACCGGTTCTCAAGGCTTCCTAGCTGTCGATATCTTTAGGTCCCATCCTGTTTTGACTGTAATCCGGATCAAAAACCACTGACCCGACTTCTGTTAAAATAATACAGGCGCCGCATTTTTCCGATGCGCGAACATAGCGCCTCGCAAAGCCACCCATTTTGCTCGGTGCCACGCACGGCGCGGGAGGGATTGTAAAGTCAACCCAGAGAGGAGGCCTCTGTTGCTCTGTTTGTTAGGTAAGTGGATACAGTAAATTTACATTCAAGACTTTTACGTCATTTGACGTGATCACTAATTAACGACAAAGACTGGAGGTGAGGGTATGACAGGCGTTTTAAAGGGAGGACAGGAAAGTGATGGGGAGAAGGCAGATATTGGCCGTGTTCCACGCCGCCAGACCGCCACACAAGGAGGCCGTGATTACTTCGTAATTATTCCGCCTTTATTCGGGGCCCCTCGGCCTGAACCCACACATGTCAAGGGCATTACAAGGGAATTATGTCATGTTGTATACAGCCCAGTTATCGTTGGTAATTATTTCCGTGTTGTCCTTGGACAGCTGGTAGCTTTTCACGTTGCAAAGCGCATGCCAACGCCGCAAACACCTGGACCTTGGGTTTTGAGACTCGTGCCGTCTCACGACATACATGAAATGCCCTTGTGTAAGCTCCTTGTGTGAATCAAATTTTACTCGTGTGGTCTTCATGGTATTTTTGTCGACATCGCTCAATTTCTAAAAGGCATTGTTCATTATCATTAGGCGTCACTTGTTTTTGTTTGTTGGTTGGTTCTGTGTGACTGTCGGTCCTAGTTTCTAGATAAAGAGGCCATATTCCAGGTCAAATGTTGGAACTCCCTACCGACTAGTACTAGTCACCTCAGCACCACGACCAATTCACAACAACTGAACGACGTGCAATGACGTCAAACGGCAAATAAACATTTATAGCCATTGTGAACAATTAACCAAGTTTAGCGACCAAGTTTGTTTTTCCTTTGAATAATATGAAGATGAGGTGCAGTTTGTTTTTCTATGCCTATACAAATAGTGAATGAAGATATTTAGACCAATGATGTAAAGACATAAAACCTCTAATCCTTTAATCATGTTTCGTCACCAGTGTCATCTATCTTTGAACGATAGCTGTAATTAAGCAAGTAGAACTGTCATGTCACACTGCGTGGTGTTGCTTTTCCTTTTCGGTGTACTGTTGTACCCCTCTTTTGTATGTATAACATGAAATGCTTATATAAGAGCCTTCATCAGTATCAGAATTGTGCAGAACTGACCGCAGCCTGAACTCAACACCTATGCAAACAGCCATGAATCAAATACACAAAGTTTACGTTGTGCAGGTACGGCGACGTTTGGAGAAGTATTCAAATAGAAGTACAGGTGGCAGTGTCCGAGTGTACATATGGTTCAACATGGGGTGCGGACAGGTGAGGAAACATTCTGATCTCCTGAAAAAAGATGGTCAACAAAAAAGCAATCAGAGCCTCTGTCCCCGGTACCGGTTTTCTGTGTGGAATAACCCGCATGAATTGACCTCGTTTGAAATTGAGGACAATGGGTAGGGACCCTGATTGCACTTTTAGGCGCTACTGATTGTCCCAGGGTTGCCCAAATGAGCACTGCACTTAATGCGATTGGGTATTTCACCGCTGTCTCCGGGAAGAGGTTTGGGGAAACATCAGCGGGCGGGGAGTTTTATAAGTTGAATGGGTTGAGAACGATCCTATTAAGCGTAAGCGATGCCTGTACCTGGAATCTGTGGCCCAGACAGATTCTACACTTCAGCTATCGACACCGGACGACGTGTTGGTTAAACTGGACCGTTTCATAGCACTGCCAGTGCTTCTAGAGAACAATCCTTCAACAACGGGAGAAGTACACGCCACAGCGAGTTCCCTCATCGCGCTGTGACTGATTTCTCAGCCACTCCGTCTCGTTTTTGCACTTCAAATAGCTTGTACTATTCATTCAATCATCACAGTAAAAGGCAAGGACGTCCGTATACTCCCTCAATGTACGGCAGTATGTAATATAATATACGAGTATAGCCGGTCTCGAGTATTATATACGCTCCCTCACAGGCTATTCTTAGTAAAGAAAGGTGGTGAATGCGGTACGTTGCATGTGCAAGCACGTAAGATTACTTAGGTGGACTAACTGGCCCACCGTCTGTATTCTCCGGTTTAAATTTGATTGAACGGACCGGACCCACCCTAATGTGGATTTCCCCACCACCCATTAATTGGCGACGTGCTCAATAACATTATATTGAATTACCACTCAAATTGCATTAGTAGGGCCGGGGAGATGGCAGCTCCGAGAGAATTTTCCAATCTTCAGCCAAATACGATCTGTCTGTTGGGATTATGCTTATATGACCCGGGGTGGGTGGGAGAGAGCAGAAAGGGAACACCCTTCATTATCCCTGACTCGGTTCTGAACCCGCCGAAGATCCACAGATACAAACCTACCTGCTGTATTCTAGAGTAGGAATTTCTCTAATTATTGACAACCTTGGTTTTATACCTTATACCTTATTACTTCCGGGTATGGAAGTAATATTTTTGGTGGCTGAGTTTTGGGTTTTTGTCTCTGTTTGCCCTAGTAACTTTGGTTGCATGGTGGGTGGGAGGTGATTTTGACAGTTGATTCATAGGGATGTCACGTCTGAAGGTGACCCTGCACGCGCCTGAGAGTAGGGAGGTATGTGGGGGATTCAGGAAGTGGTGAATATTAAATCACATAATACCTCCACATATCCAGTACATTCACATGTTCCTAAACTACTTCCCAGAAGTCTGTGAATTTGAGGGTCACAAAAACCCGAAATACGTCTGTCTGAAGTCAGAAAAAAAAATCTCCGATATTTTCTTGAAAGGTTAGAATAACCGACCACAAATTTTGCTAGAATACTAACTGGATCGGCATTTCGACTCGCTTGACTGAGTTTGACCCTCAGTGACCTCTCTTGATGATCACTGGCGACGCGCTCAATAATATCCTATTGAATTACCATCCCAGCTACATTAGGGACGATGTGAGATGCCCCACACACTAATCAGTTCCTGACCAGGATAACGGACCACAAGGAAATGCCCAATCAGCCGGGATCCTTCTATTCTACTATGGACCGTCTATTTGTTCTCCGAAAATAAGCTGGTGAAGATTCGCAGATGCTCGGAATGTGAAGAAGGACTTTCAGGTAATACAGAGAATTAGGTTGTTCATCTCTCTGTCAGACAATGGGTACCTGACTACATTCTGATACGTTCTATTTTGTACGTCATGGCAATGCATGGAACATACAAAATAGAATTAATTAAGTCCAATCAATGATTCAAAAATTGTATTCAATTCAATGGTTGTTAATCTCGTCCGATTCTGTTTCTAGAAAGAAAAGAAAAGAAGCAAAGAATAGACGTCAAAATTACAACAGTTTTTTTTCGGGATTGGGGGGTGGGGTGGGGGTAATCTAATGAAAGGACAAGAGGAATACAATGCATTACCAAGCAACATCGTAGAGAGGTGCTGTTTCGCCAGGTATTGTACCAATTTTCTATAGGAGTGGAGTGAGGAAGAAGTGCCTTTCCCAAGTCCACAGCACTGGGGCCTGTCAGGGAAAGGCATCACATCAACAGCAGATGGCATTGTAATATTTTTAATAGAAAATGAGTTTTCCTGGCTAATGTCAAATTTGATTTCCGGCAGTAGAATATCTTGTTTGTCTGGAACGTCGACTTTTAAAATTCAACAGCGTTATGAAGATTTCCGGCAAAGGTTAACCAAACATCGGCAGGAGCATCTGGACCTTTCAGCAGGAGCTGGACAAATTAAGACGGATGGGCTGGAGGGTCATTCTCTCTGACTGCGTCAGTCTTTTTCCCACGAGCGGGCCTCCAACTGCGCCGCTTGTTCAGCGCTATGGATTTGAACAAATAAGGGACACGAAGCTTCGGGGCAACATATTCTTTAGCTATATTCAGTACATTCCTACGCTCTTTAGCATGCAGAGTTTGCACTTTGTATTCCGCCCCGGGAGTACAAGGATTTCTAGAATAGTGCTTAGGAGGGTATCTAGGTAGCGTGCAAATGTCGCACGTATAGCTCGCTGATATTGCATGATTGATAAGAAAAGGCTTTGACCTTCCGTGAGTTTGTACAATATCGCCATTTTAGTCGGTATGTGACAATGTTGAATGCATTTGTGTGTGTGTGTGTGTGTGTGTGTGTGTGTGTGTGTGTGTGTGTGTGTGTGTGTGTGTGTGTGTGTGTGTGTGTGTGCGTTTACATTTTGAGGGAACAACACCTTCTCTATTATATATCCGGTTTTTGTTGCTCCTTATGCAGATTGTTTTGATGCTTTCTCTACATGGGCAAGGATTAAACTGTGCCGACGAATTGTCAATCAAATCTTGAAGCTCTGCGCTAAATATCTTTATTTATTCACTCTTACAGTCGGTCAGTACTGGACTACAACTACCTACTGACTGCCAAGCCAACAATTCGTCCCCGTAATAAGCGATGCAGCACTACTGAAGGTCGAGAAAAGGGACCCTTAAGATTCCAGACCCCAAACTACATTTTCAGAGATGAAAGGGCGACGATAATAGAGACGACTGTCTGTGGGCGGAACTGTGTAGCGTTGTGTGGGCTGTGAATACCGCCATTGTACCAGCCGGGAACGGACACTTTCTCTCAGTGGTTCCGGCGGACAGCGTAGGTCAGAGCTAGGGGCCGATCTGCTTCAGAACTCCTCTCCGTTTTGAGATTATCGGTCGACAAAACAGCATGTCATTGCGACTGTTGCTACAGATTCTACCTCTCCTGATGTTCGTGCGGACGTCTGTTGACGCTGCTACGTCACGCGTCGTCACGACGTCAGCCGGACAGGTTCGTGGACTCGAGCTTGACGTCCTGGGAAGGAAGGTCAACGCATTCTTGGGGATTCCTTTCGCAAAGCCGCCGGTCGGGGACCTGAGATTCAAAGCACCGGAGCCCGCGGAGTCATGGAGCGACGTCTACGAAGCCACAGAGTAGGTACCATTTTCACGGAAACTAGTTGAGTTATGCCAATCTAATGAGTGTCAAAATCATCGGGAAAACTTGATACGCCAGTAGTTAAATACCTCCTTGTTCATACATCGAAGAACGATTGAACGGTATAAGTACGGCGATCTTTCATCAATCATACTTTATTTGGTTTTGACTTTAATAATGATCAAACCGGGAATAAAATACGAAGTGTTGTTTGTTTTAACAGATCTACTAAGTGTGGTTCAAATGACACCTAGCGTTATGAAAAACAGATCTGGAAATATGGCAATTCAGAGAAAAGAAAGAATCGGTAGCCAATTGCAATGTGCGTCTCGTGTGTCCTTAGGGTGACAGGCTTAGAATCTAATGTCGTTTCTAAGACCTCTGTGTGTTCCTTATAAACACGTAGGTTCCCTAACTCCTGTATGCTGGCGCCGGACGTCACGTTTCCCGGCTTCCATGGTGCGGAGATGTGGAACCCCAACACGCCCATCAGTGAGGACTGTCTGTACCTGAACGTGTGGCAGCCGTCCGCCCCCACCACTCCCACAGGAGCAACCGTCCTGGTCTGGATCTACGGAGGGGGCTTCTTCTCGTGAGTAGAGTCTATATTCATGATTCCTTCATGGTGGAAACTATTTCCAGACCCCCCTTTGTTTGGGCGTGTGTGTATGTTTGTTTGTGTGTGTGTTTGTTTGTTTGTTTGTGTTTATGCGTGTGTGTTGTACCAAAAATCATATAAAAACCACGACTACACCGTACGCGTCCTATTTCCGTTTTCTATCTCGTCACTTTGCTTGCATGCATATTGAATGCATATAGGTGGTGCTTGGAGGAACTCTTCCAAAGTTGCAATTGCTTCCTCATGATAAGAACAGAGCAGCCTGAAACGAAGTGATGAAATGATATAAAAACGATGGAATGTTTTCAGTTGAACGACCAACAAATTCTCTTGCCGTCCGTATCCAGGGGTACGTCATCTTTAGACGTGTACGACGGAAGGTACTTGGCACGTATGGAGGATGTGGTGGTGGTGTCCATGAACTATCGTCTGGGCGCGCTCGGTTTCTTGTACACCGGCTCAGAGGCTGCGCCGGGAAATGTCGGACTCTTGGATCAACACCTCGCACTGGTGTGGGTTCAACAGAACATACAGGCCTTCGGAGGGGATCCGGAGAAGGTCACCATCTTTGGAGAGAGCGCAGGCGCGGCGAGCGTGAGCTTCCACATGATGTCTCCCATGAGCAGGGATCTGTTCCAGAGAGGGATCCTGCAGAGCGCCTCCGCGGTCGCTACCTGGGCAGTGACACCTACCGAACAAGCGCGGCGCCGCAGCAGGGCGCTGGCCATAGACATCGGGTGCTCGGCAGAGGAGGAGGACATGGATGTACTCGTGGCCTGCCTGAGAGAGGCTCCGGCTCAGACTATCCTAGACCACGAGTGGAACGTTGTGGACTTGTCTGACGCACACTTCCTCGCTGACCTCCCTTTTGTACCAGTAAAGGACGGACAGTTCATCACAGAAAACCCTGCTGAGGTGTTCGAAAAAGGTACTTTCAAAGACGTTGACATCCTCGTCGGATTTGTCAGGAACGAGGGAAATTTCTGGCTAGTGTACGGAGTACCAGGTTTCGACAAGGATACAGACAGCATTATCAATAGGGACACGTTTGTAGGAGACATAGGATATTGCCATCCCCTGTTGAACGACATTACGGTTGAGGCCACGGCGTTCGAGTACACAGACTGGCTGCACATTGACCAGAACACCATGTATCGAGATGCGCTGGATAACGTCTTCGGGGACCCCTTCTTCGTCTGTCCGACTGTGGCCGCGGGGAAGGCCCACGTCAACCACGGCAGGACAGCATACGTGTACGAGTTCGCGCAGGTGGCCTCAAACTTGGCGTGGCCACACTGGATGGGCGCCATGCATGGGTACGAGATAGAGTTCATCTTCGGGCTCCCTATCGATCCGAAGTGGAACTACACCGCCGAAGAAGGGGAACTAGCCCGCAGGATGATGCGGTATTGGACCAACTTTGCGAGAACCGGGTAGGTTGGTCTCACGTCCTTCACAGGGTTTCTATTCTACGTCTGCATCTCTTTAAGGTACTTTTGAAAGCTGTATATATGTAGGAAGCTCTAGGGAAATATTAACAACTTCTTATCATGCATCAGATATGCGTGAAATTAAACGTTATGCACCTTTTGATTAAGTATTAACTCTTTGACCTGTTTATCAGCAGTTTTCACACTAGTATGTACCCTCTCTGATTTCTAAACCTATGTAGAAGCTGCTATAACATATTTGATACAGCATGGTTTATGATTTCCACAGTAATCCGAACAAGAGGACTGCTGACGACCCGACGGAGGACATATGGCGGCCGTACACGGAGGAGGGGCGGGAGTACATGGTCCTGGACACCGACGGAACCCGGATGTTGAACGGTCCGAAGAGCAAGCAGTGTGCATTCTGGGATCGATACATGCCCAGCCTTCAGCAGGAGACAGGTAAGAGAGAAGTGTTCCAGGTAGCTTATTGTACTAATGGCCGGCGTTTTGGTTAGGGTTCTTTTCTTCATCAACAGTGGTCTGTCAAAGTTTTATCTCCAAGCGGTCACAGCCTCTAGTGGAAAGGGGGTGTAAAACACATACAGCACCAATCAAACTATTGCTTCTCTCTCCCTTTCAGACGCTCTTATTAACGACGCGGAGCCGTGCAGTTCAGGCGGGAAGTCCTGGCGTTCTGAAGGAGTTTCCAAGTTCAGCAGTTTTGTGACCGTTGCCCTGGTGTTGGCTGTGCATCAGCTGCATCTGCTTGGACATTAAGTGAACCTGCGGCTGTATAGCTGAGCGGATAAACTGACAGATAAGTACTGACATCGCCCAGTTAACCATTCCGCCTTGGACATATCCGCGCCAGCGGAGGAATACAGGAGTGGTTGTGCACTCTTCAAAATTCAGAGTCGATTCAGCCATGATTCAACAGATCGCTTTATAGTTGACCTTAACCACAACATCTCGTAATGAAAACCTATCTATTTCACCTGGTAAGGTGTTGTTAAAGTAAGGTTGTTTCCAGATTGAATATTGTGGTAGACTTTCATTTGTGCTCAAAGGTTTAGAGGTCTAATGTCAGTTGTCTTGGTCCACCTTACTCTCCAAGCAGAGGTTTGGGTTTTGGGGGTATTTTTAGCGTGTTTTTAGACTTTTTTATCGGGGTGTCTCTTTTGCACTGAATTTTTTTCCCACCAAACCCAACCTCTGCCGGCACTCACCTCGGGGAGGGGCAAACCTATTCAAAACAGGCGATAGTGCCCCTCCCCGGGAACCATCAAACTGTCATTAGGGATATCCATTTTATTGTGGTGGATTGGGTTTGGTGGGAAAAAAAATTCAGTGCAAAAGAGAAACCCCGATAAAAAAGCCTAAAAACACGCTAAAAATACCACCAAAACCCAAACCTCTGCTTGGAGAGTAGGTCCACCTCTCGAATCATTTATTTCCGAGCTGCAACAACCTGAGAACAACCTTTAAAACATCTGACACGTTCCCACGTTGAATCTGCTTTAGGCTAACTAGAAAGCGATTTGTCGGATCATGGCGGATTCAAATCTGAGTTTAAAAGTAGGGTGGACTGGGCGGGGTATTTACCTGTGTACTGACTATGTCAAACGCCACTGTGGAAGCAATTTTGAAATATAATCTAACGGAATATAAACAAACAGTTGGACAACAAAGATATGATACAGTTTGAGCGAACTAAAATGTGTTTGGGTAAATGACATGTTAAAAAACTATATACTAGTATATGTAAGAAAGAAGATTTACAATCTACCACCGAATACCCTATAAAAGCAATAACAACTATGTGCAATTTCTGATTTTAAGTTTGTAAAATAAGATGCAGACAGAAGAATACTAAAGGTAACGGAAGCCGTCATACAAAAGTATAATTGTGGAGAACTATCAACAGATCGATCACTGACTTTTGAGGTTGTAGCAGTGACTGGGAAACAGTAACAATGAATATAGAATAGATACGTTTTCCCGAAAGAATGCATTAAGAGACGTGAGTTCTGGTGAGTTATGATATTTTAAGTTCTGTCTCATTTTTAATGACGGCGCAGTCTAGGACTAACGACTATTAACGTATTACTAAAATAACGCATGATGTCCACATGTTGTTTTACCATCATGTTCGGACATAAGACTTTTTGTTTTTTCATATACATCTATTTAGCATAGTATGTATAAATGATTTGATATATCCTATGGATCTCGGAGTTTTAATGAGTTGTAAATATAGGTTTTGTACACAACTGCGCAGAGTCTATGGCTGAGTTTTTTCTCTTGAAAAGATAATAATACTTGACATATCAGAGGATTATCTTAGATTTGATCACATTTTACATATGGTACACTAAGTATATAACAAAAGAAATCATCAATCCAGAGAAGGTAGGCAGACAACTTTTCGGTAAACCCGGCAGTCAAAACAAACCTTGGTTATCTCCGGGTACGGAAGTATTGTTTTGGGTGGGTTTGTCTGTGGGTTTGTTTGTATGCTTCTCCAGCAGAGATGGCTGCAGGGAGCCACACAATCCCTTCCATTAAGTGTGTTATTGTAATCGGTTACGTCACACAATCCCTTCCACGGTGCCAATACATTGACGAAAGCCTAAAACACGTCCCGTAGGTCTGACATTGTTAGAATGTGTTGACAGCTTTCAAGACGATGGAATGGTGTCATGCAATTGGCATGGCCCACTGTACTTCTAACCCACAAGGGAACTGAAAACCTGGTCCTGTTATCTCCGCGCGATTACCATTGCATTAGACATCTGACAAAATAAATGAGAGGCAGCTGACCTTTTCGCTCACCTCACTTAAACTTCAAAGAGAAGAAGGCGAGGTGCAAATAGCAGAGCTTGAAACAGAAGCATATATGCTTTTCTGTTTGGCTTATATGGTACGTGCTTAGTGCGACGCACCTAAGGTGGAGAGTTTTCAGACGATCGTGCTCTATATACGCCGTACATTTGAGACGAGACAGTGCAATAACATTTAACTACAGCACCACTTTCTTCTCAACCCTCAACGTATGGCACGATCAGAAAACCCTCCACCCTAGGTGCATCGTATGTCCCCGGGGTTTAGGCGAGAGGTCGACTAGGGATTTTCCTGACGGGGAGAATGAATCAGTGCCTTTAGGCTTAACTTCAGTCACTCCCAAAAGGCGCTCTCCTGCACGAGTCAACGGCAGGGATCGATATGATTATCTTCTATCATAAATTCTAAGTTGAGAAATAAGAAATCTAATTGAAGTACTAGTAATATAGAACCAGAAATGACATAAAGATGTATTATTGATGACCTGATGTCATCTCCAAGGCGAGATCAATCCTTCACGTGTCAGTTAAACTGTGCCAGTAAACGGATTTGTGTGGATGTTTCAAGTTCACCCAAACGCTCGTAAAATGTAATAGTTACTATGTATGGTTCCGTGCTTGGTATAATTTATTTCATGTTTTATTCACTTTAGTGTCAGTTTATGTTGACCGGCAATTTATTCCTTATCGAATTGTAGAGATTGTCATCGCTATAATCTAATACTGTTTGTTTGAACCTTTTGTATGATTATTTATTCGCGGGAAGCTAAAATCGGTTGCTTTTCCCTAATGTGGCATATACAGAGATTTCAAGGCTTTAGAAATGATAATTTATTGTTACTAACATAGCTCCACAAGTCTAATGAAAGTACAAGCACGTACATGGAATTTTATTTGATGAAAGGTGTCATCATCATATACAATACATTGAAAGACGGCAGTGAGAATAATGGTAAGACTGCTAAATGTGTTTTTAATGGACCTATATTGGTAATACGATTATTGTATATAATGGGCAACGAGGCAACGTGAACAAAAGAATACAAGTACTTGCTGAAGCATCATCACATACATGTTCTGTACCTCACAGATATTCTTACTTCCGGGTACGTAAGTATTGTTTTGGGTGGCTGAGCTGTGGGTTTGTGTGTGTCTGTTTGTCTGGACATAAGAGGTGGAAGGTGGGGAACATAACCAAGCAGAATGACAGGAGACCAAAACGTCAGAGACAGGATATGGAATGAACTTGGAGGTCGACGTCATGAAAACCTAACTACCTGTTAAACACAAGTAACATCCAGGAACCAAACCAACAGACTGCAATCTGATTCGGGCCGTATCTTTTTTGGTAGCCTGGGTGGTACCTCGAAGGAGTGATAATCCCTTCGGCCAGGGAAGCCATACGCCCCGCGAACCCCGATTGGCACCCTTGTTTTGGGCAGCATTGGTTTGGGCGGCGGATACTGTAGCGGACATCAGGGCTTCTCTCCACAAAAATCTATCGCTTATATAAACGCCAGCATCTGGCATCCAGGCTACTTTTTGGGGGTTCTTCCAGTTATGCTAAATTGCCCCCTCCCCCAAACGATCGATTTTGACTAATTGTTCTTTGGAACTCAGAAATAATTATCTACTGCCGGTTCAGATTACATCTGCTGTATCACTTCTGGGAAAGCTGACGCGCCTGTGCTGGGACAATTAAACAGCCATGAAGTAGAAGTGACAAGTAGACCTAACGTGTCATCGACGTATACAGACATACGACATATTTTCACAGAATTCATTGGCGTACACAACAGATGGAACTTCAACTGCTAGTAGATATTTGTTTCTCTTGTTTCAAGTAAAAGTTTGTGAAAAAGTCATTCGGAAAGACACGAACCTGTATATCAGCTCGGTTAATGCCGATGGGGCTGGAAATGGGTCTTTGCCAATAATGTTACTTGACTTGACTTTAGCTTACAAATGCGGTAAGTGTACATGTGTTACTTGTCAGTGACTCGTTCAATTCATTAAGCTTGAGAGAAGCTTCACAGACGTGCACGAGAAGTAATGTGACATGTGTCTCACAGAGAGTTGTCATTTGGAAGCCGATTTGTCTTTGGAACGAAAACGAAATGCATCTTCTCACTTTTATTGTTCATTTATCGATATGGTGTTTTCCATGGAGTGACGTTTGATCCTATTTGATGTAATACGACATCTTGTCATCTCCTGGTCCCACGTGAAAAATTCCGTCAGGTTCTAGGATACTTCATTGAATAGTGTTGCCCCATATTCAACGGTCACTCTAAGAGATGTTGCTTACCATGCTTGGAACGCTGGAATGGATTTCTGAGGTCTAACTTTGGTTAATTCTATGTTCGCAGTACACGATTTACACTGATGGATTACATATTTGCCACTTTGGAACATGATGCTATGCGCACCTCTCTGTTTTAAGTTATTTCTTTAATCACGGAAAATAGGCTTTGTACAAAACAGATCTGTTTTACAAGTACCTGTATCGTGTTGCGTGAGTGTGTGATTCTCCTGGGATAGACAATGATTATTTTCTTATTCATTAATCTCCTGGCTCCTATCTATCTGGAGAACTGTCTGATCTTGTCCTTGATAAGAAAATCATTTTCGTAGTGATCTGATAAATGTATAGAACGACCTTTTGTTGAATTATAAGCAAAAGTAATTCTTACCCATACATATTAATGATATGGTCTTTCAGATGTGTTGGGCGACTTCTAATGCATGCTGTTGCCCTATCGTTGTCGATCCTTTGGGAAATCAAAATACATATATTGTAACTTTCATTGAATATTCGCAAAGACGCCATCTTAAGGTTTGGACCATGGCAGGTATTCATGTATGTGTAAAATAAGACACACCTTTTCATTTAGAGTTAAATGGGAAGAACATTCTGTTGAATATTCATTACTGCAATATAGGAAAGAATCCCCAGCGACCTTTGATGTATGACAGAGGTAGT